TTAATAAGTGTACCCTATTGTATAATACTTAATACATGAGAGACAAAATATAGCACGAGACGCATTTTTTTGAAGCCCATTAAAGACTGTGAATCTGTGACGTTTGGTAATGTGTTCCAGACTAAGCAGGTAAGAGGAACATAGGAATATTTCAGCTGTTTGTTCTTGCAAATGGTTGAACAAACAGTGACGTTAAACCAGTATGAGCGGAGATGGGTTGCTTGGGATGAAAACATTAAGGGGAAGTCCACAAGTTCATTTATATCTTGTACATTGTGCTAAGCTGAGGTAGAGCCTACGACCCTAAAGAGGGAATGAAGAGAGAGAGAAGTCAGGTTTTTAGCGTCCACCTCTTAGTGCACATGCGCAGTCCAAATTGTACTGTTCCACCTTTTTAGGTCTTTTTTCAGGTGTGGCTCACAAGCTGTCAGCGCAATCGTACTCCAGGTGTGGAGTCGAACAAGAGTGTCTGTATCAGGTGAACAGTGGTGGCCGGTCAGGTCGCCGGAAACTGCCTGTGGAAGAGCGCAACCAGCTTCCTGGCTTTGGAACACTTGGCAGGATATCGGTGCTTGCTGGCTTCATTGCTGCGGCACCCAATCCGTTGTCAGTACTTTGAGTTTGGGTTTTGGCTGGTACTGGAAAAGCCTTGTGGGGATGAATCTCATTAGTTCAGAACCGCAAGCGCTGCGCCTGAGCAGAGCCTTGTGGGGATGAATCTCATTAGTTCAAAACCACAACTTAGCCTTTATAAACTCGTGGTGCCAGAGAGAGAAGTTGTGGTATGCTCTGCTGATGAGGGCCAACAAGCCCGAAACAGCAGTCCAGAGCTCTGCATCTTTTTTCTCTTGGCATCACATGGTGTATTTTTTTTATGTATCTCTATGGTGACGAAGAAAGTGCTCTAACAGCAGCATTGATCTATCAGGAGATTAATACATTGCCCAATTCTCCAGAAAGCAACAAGAGATACCTGCTTCTTCTTTCGCTTATTGTGGAAGAATTCAGAACCTGAGAATTACATACTAGGTTAGCTAAATACATTAAATAAGCTTGCAAAGACATGCTGCTAACCTTTGTATATTCCTTATGACAGCTTTTTATATCTGAGTGTACATGATTTGAACTATTAGTGAAAAAAACTTAATGTATTGCATGAGGGAACTCTCATGATAGAACTCTTTCATTTGAGCAGATAAATTTTCACAGAGCCTGTATGATTGCTCGTGTACCACTGCACACTAGGTTGCCGCCACTCTTCTGCATGCATTCAAGAATTATTTTATAGCTCTATAGCTACATTATTATTACAAACCTCTCTGCACACTTTTCGCTAAACATCTCACAATGCAGGATGGAAAAACAGCTTTGGACAAAGCCAGAGCTAAAAGTCACGGCCGAGAAGTAGAATGTCTGCTCAGTATAATACCTAATTAAGTTCTTTGTAACTATGTATGTATTTGTATTGTAGACCAAGCCAATGGCGATTTTTGCGCGTGGTCATGCAGTGCGTTGCCGCGTTTGTTAGGGGGCGTGCCGGGGATCGGTCGAGGAACGCCCTTTTTCGTGGGTGACGCCCACTGAAAGTGCACCGTTAACTCTGGATCGCCGCATGCAATGGGAAACAGGATCTCTTTACTACTGGTATATGCTGATAGTAACTATGAAATTTGTGCGTTTCGTTATTGCAGAGAGTCATACGTCGGTGAACTAGCCAGGGCAGCTCGTTACACTGTTGTGCTACTACTGGTAAGAGTTTTTTTGATACCTAGCTTTTAGCGAAGGGGCCTGCTCCGCGAAATAACCAAAAACACTGAGATGTAGAAATTAATATAAGCCGTTACAAGTAATAATACAACAAGACAAGACAAACAAATACCACTAACCGTGAAACTATAGAATCATACAGACGAATAAATGTAAAGAAAAGCTAGACGAAAAAAATACAAAAGAAAGAGCTGTAAAACAAAAAAGAAACAGAAAATTAATAAAAAAATTAAAGTGTCGCCAGGAAAAAAAATTAACACAAGACATAAAGAAGAGAGGAAAGAAAATATAAGCAGATAGGGACACTAAGTAAATAAGTTGGACTGACTATTTCGCTGTATCTCAAACCTCAGATACCATGTCCCATGTCCAGTGTTCTGTTGTATGTTCTCTACAGAATGGCGATACCTCCAGCTCAACACGCTCCGGAAGGAGATCATAGCACTGTAAAGTTATAACTGCTGAAGAGCACATAGGAGCTGACATCAATATCTGTGATTAGATGATTGAAGGCTACAGATTGTTACACTACTCGCTGTAGCTGGTTAAGTAAAAAACTGCAAACTAGATTGTTCGGAGGCTAGCGTCTATAATGTCTCCATCTTTGAATTGGACCTAAAAATTAACAATCCTAGGGTAGACTGATGCTTTGGACAAAAACTATTCAAGTCATACAAATACAGTGTAAAATATAGATGTGATTAATCCAAAAGTTGTGTGAGATATAATTTAGGATATAAAAGGCTGAGACAGGATGCCATTAATAATTTGTACTAGCTAAATAGCCTCATAAGAGACTTGTGTAGCCGAGCCGCTGTTCGGGCTCGAGTCAGGTGAGAGTAGTTGGAGGCTGAGCAGTCTCCATCAAGAGATGTGCGGAGGATTTATAATCTATGACAAGGCAGCACTTGATGGTGAAACAATGATATCTGACAACAAAGCTTCAGAGCTGAAATAAATGCACACCCAGATCAGAGAGGGGAAGTAAGAGCAACTTTGGCTAACTGGTTGAGTCCCCTTTTAATCATGGGCTTCCACGAGGCATTTAGTGCATCCCACACCAATTACGCCTGTCCAGTTGTCCTGAATATTGATGGCATTGGATTTTCTTGCTGGCAATGGCTAATCAGATTAGCCAATGCAAATGTCCAGACAAACTGAGAGTACGGATCACTTACAACTGGAAGTAAACGCCCACCCTCTCATACCATGATTAATGGCGGAGATATTGATCGTTCCGGGAGGAGATGCGGCTTAATCAGGCACACCTAGAGATAACGAGAATATAGGGAAAATTGAAGGATAAGAGAGTAGCGATATTAGAAGAGATGTCAACCGTCGGAATACACTAGATCGGATTCAGAAATAAGATAGCAATACTATCACCAGCTGAAGACAAGTAGAGCCATCGTTTGATCTTGACTCGAAGAGGTTCTGTTCTTGTACCGATCCAAGAGCGTAATGGTCTATATATCCACAGCATGATCTCCTCACAAAACGAGAGGGGAATACACTGGCACACACGATCCAAAGCCTGCAGTCAGATGAGTGACGGTTAATGCTGCAATGTCCTAAACATGTCGCATTTTCCATAAACACTATACAGATGCTCTTAATAAGGTATATAGCTAGCTACCGAAGCAACTATGCAAGCAAAAAACTATCGAGCCCTCTCTACCACCAATATCTTTCTGTGGACACCTGGTATCGGTCAGTACACTTTGGCCGCAGGGTCAGCAGTATTTTAAAACGAATCTGAACATTGAAACACATGGGCACAATGCTATGTCACTGTCACTACTGATAGCGAAAGTAAATCACATACACATCTCAAGCCGGCAGGTCTTTCATCTGCATGTTGGTAAGGAATTGTAAGGTCCTTACTTGTAAGGTTAGACAGCTGGAATATGTACATGTAGTGCTATTTTCAGCAAATACACGTAATAAAGAAAATCTGGCGTGTGAAAGGGGTTGGTACTGCCATGCAAGGACTAAAGTGTAGCAAAAGAAGTCAATTCGCCAGGTCGATATGCTCAGTGTATTATAGAACGTGCCCTACCATAAAACAAGATGTGAATTACTCTGTATTGCAGCTTCACCTGGTGCGAAAATAATCATTAGTAACTGCAGTCCTTTTACACCTTCTTCCTTCACTAGACCGGTGACCCAAATGACATATCACTAAATCTCAGAGGTCTGTATGGCTATCAGAATGTGGTGATCCACACAGCCCAGGTCCTGGGCTCTGGATCCTATGGCAATGTGGTGAAGGCAACACTGGATAAAAAGCCATGTGCTGCTAAAATCCTCCATCGAGTCTTCATTGACTCCCAGGACCCTGGACTCTCTGACTTTGTATCTCGATTTGAGCAGGAGTGCCAGATCCTGCGAGACCTGAAACACCCCAACATTGTCCAGTTCCTGGGTGTGGTCCAAGACCCCACCACCAACAAGCCCATTCTCCTCATGGAGCTGATGAAGGACAGTCTGACGCACTTTCTAGAGAGCTCGCCAACCAACATACCCTACCATGTCCAAGTGAACATCTCCCACGACATAGCTCTAGCAGTGGCTCACCTGCACAGGAATGGCATCCTCCATCGAGACCTGTCCAGCAACAACATCCTCCTGAACGCCAGCTACCAGGCCAAGGTGACCGACTTTGGCATGTCCAAGATCGCAGACTCCAATCTCTCCATGACCCGCAGTAAGGTGACCAAGTGTCCAGGAACACTGGTCTACATGCCACCAGAGGCCCTTCGTCCCGAGCCTCGCTACTCTGACAAGATCGACACATTCTCCATTGGAGTTCTCCTTCTCCAGATTGTCACCAGAAAGTTCCCTGCTCCCACTGCTGAGTTTGTCACAAAGACAGATCCCAATTCTCCTACCAAGAAAAGCTATGTTCCAATCCCAGAGGTTGACCGCCGAAAGTCAGATATCGATAAAGTGCCAAGCCTCCAGTGGTTTTCTGCCAGTCATTAGAGACTGCCTCAAAGACATCAGCAGTGACAGACCAACAGCTGCCCAGCTCTGCCAGAGACTGGGTCAACTGAAGAGTACTGCAGTCTACAGTGGGAGTCTTAGTGCACTACCTTTTGAAGTAGGTTTATCCCTAACACAATTTTGCTTGTAACTCTTCTAATTGTGTGTCTCTATACCCAGGGAAGAACAGAGCTCCACGATGCTGCTGAGAGAGGCGATGTGAAGGCAGTTGAGAGACTCCTCTCCACTTCTGTCAATATCAACTCCAGGACTGAGGATGTGAGGCTCTCTACTAGTGAATGTGTAGTCTCATTTCTGACTCAGTTCATTGACTGCTGCTCCACTGGTCTCTGTATCCCCACCACTTGCAGG